TATATATATATATATATATATATATATATATATATACTCGTATATATCACAAAATTATTTCTCTTGTTAATCAATGTTTGTCGTACAATTTTTATTATAATTTATATATAATTTATACGAAATTATTTATTAAATTCATTCGATTTATTTATTGGTCTATGGGAAAAGTTTTTGTGGAAAAAAGCTTTTGTCGCATGATGTCATAATGCTGATGTGTGATAATGTTTATATTATCAGTCTGAGTATTATTGAGTGATATATGGGTGCATGAGGGGTTTTTCACTTTATATTATTAATTTTCTTTACTAACACTCTGTATTGAACACATGAAAAATAAAACTGTCATGTTGTGAAATAAATATTGCAATCATTGTTCAGATTAAATTCTGTACATATCATGTTTATGAGATTCATAATACATATACTTGGTACACATTTAGTATTTACATAGCACAGCAATGTAAAGCACGAGAAAAGAAAAGTAATAAACAATATAATAAACGATATATAATTGATATAAGAAAATCTATCACTTTTATGTTTGTTATACAATATAATATTGACACAGGCTATAATCAGTTCATGCAATATGCAAGAAGCTGTGGTATCTCTTTGGGATTGGGATCCTAATGTCCCAGGGGTACAATATGATGATTTCCTTGGCAGGTAGTAATACTATGACTTGAATGAGGCAATGTTTGCGTATGCATCATTAACAAAAATGTATAGACAGATTTGGATATTTTAAGCATGTGTCATTTAGCCACGTGATATTAGCTTTGTGGTATTATATGTATATGTTTATCTATGTAAATAGTAAAATAATCTTTTTTATCTCTATCACGATTTTAAAAGATTTATTTCACTAATGCTGCAGATATAATAGCTTGTTAAACGCGCGTTGCACGAAAATTTTCTATTTTATATACTTAATTTTCTTTAAATTTTTTAAAAATAAAATACATGTTTTTTTACAACTTCTCAGAGCTGTATATTACTTTTTAATTTTCTTTAAAATTTTTTCTACAATATATTCCTAAATTTTTTAGTGTATCTATTAATAGTCTGTAGTGTAAATTTCATTTGTTGGTAAATAATCATAATTAAATGAAACAATTTGCTATTGTTTGAGATTTTTTTGTAACAAGAAATATCGTTAACGGTTAACAGTTTGATCTTTTTTGTTAGTTAATTAATCAGAGTGATTAGATGACTTTGTTTAACAAGAAAGGCAACTAAAATAGACTATGTGGTGACAGTTTATAGTGGAAGAAGGCTTGGGAGCTTACAACATGGTGGTTGCCCAGCTTTTTGACAAAGACAACGCTGGTCAAGATGATCCACTTGGCAGGTATTCCTGAATGTAGCAAATACAATCTCAGACCAGTTTAATAATGCATTTTAAGAGACTTGTACAGAATGTAAACTATGCGAATACTCTGCCATTGACTATTAGATTATGCTTGAAAGACTGCATTTTTTTTATTATATGAGTTACCTCTGAAACACTGCAGCGCATTTAAAAGTATTTCAAACGTAAGCATTAATCACATATTTGTGATATGCATGTCGGTTACTCAGAGTACAAAATATTATATATGAAAAATATTATAGAATAGTCGTGCCAGTTGCAATACGGAATTAAAAATAATTCTGAATTCATGTCACCACATTACTCTCGTTATTAAACAAATATTGAGAAATCTATTTTATTTATGCAATGAAATAATGCTATGGAATGTGTTGCATGCAGTTTTATAAACGTATATAACATAATAATATTTTTGTATTATTATTTGACAAAATCAAAAGTATAGTAGAAATAATATGCTGCATGGAAGCTTCCTAATGCAAATTGTATCATAGATTTTGCATTCAAATCGGAGGTGTTTCTTTTATAAATTTAATAGTCATGCTGCTATCATCATATCATTCCAAAAAGCACACATCTAAACTTCACCGAAATAATTATTTACTCTTGAAAATTTAATGAACATTTGTTATGTGTAATTTAAGAGTTTTGAAAACATCCATTTCTATTTTGTATTGCGACAGGGCCACTATCGAAGTTAATCGAGTAAAGAAAAAGGGCATGATCGATACGGTGAGTATGATATATATATTATATAAAATCAGGACCTATAGTACAATCAGGCGGGAAAGTGATTTCGTATACAAAAATTAGTCGGAAAATTTTTTTTATTCGAGGCTTTATTGTTAAACAATTTCTGTTTTAATCAAATAAATAAAATTGAACTGTTAGTCTCATTTTCTTTACTGTTAATTCTGAAGTTGTTTGGATATTATGTAAGTATGATAACGTTTACAGTGCCTTTCCATAAACCATATTTTCATTCAGTATACACATATTTCCCTGATTTTAGACAAAAAAATTTGTTCTGCACTTTTGGCTGATTTGTTTTGTACAAGGAATCATCCTCTGTCCAGTTGTACTAAGTTTATTTCTAAATCTTCCCAACTAAAGTCTTTTTTTATTACTAATTATTAATTAATCTTATTTTGTAGTGGGTCTCTTTGGAGCAAGCAAAGCACGGCATGGTTCATTTGCGATTAACGTGGCTACAATTTTCAAAAGAACCTGCCGATTTAAGAGCTGTAAGTATAGCAAAAAACGTTCGTATTCATATATATATATATATAAACTTGAATATACAACCTTTAATTGATAACTTTTGAGCAGGCTTTAGTGGAAACTCAGGAACTTAGAGTCACATCAATGAGTACAGCCCTTCTCACACTTTATATTGATTCTGCTAAAAATTTACCGGTATGTACATCGTGATACGTAAAGAAGAAGAGCGATAGTTATCTAATAAAATTTTTTAATATCATTATACTCGTAGTGTATTCGAGGAAATAAACAACCCGACGTTTACTTAGAAGCAAGTGTCGGTGGAAAAACTGAAAGAACAGCCACTGTACCACGTTCTTGCGATCCTGTATGGGAACGAGGGTTCACCTTTTTAATTAGCAACCCTGAAACTGGAGTTTTACACATAAAGGTTTTCTGCAAATTTTTTCGTTCAAATAATGTGAAAGATATCAGATTTATCGTTATTTAACAAATAATCACATATTTCTTTCTTAGATTATAGACGAGAAAACTGCCATGACAGTTGGGGAAATGAGCTATAATCTTTCTCTACTTTTGGAGAAAAGTAATCTTGAGGTGATGCAACAGCCGTATGATTTGCAAAAGGCCGAAGTGGACAGCAAGCTTGTATTATCAATGACATTAAATGTAACAAGAAATTTTACACGCGCACAATGTAACGGAAATAAGATATGCCAATGGATAAAACAATCTGATTTTACAGATCTTGAAATATGAGCAGCCTGAACCTACTTCCGAGGAAGACGAAGATAATCATGACATCAATGAATTGAATAGACGAATCGAACATCAGGAATCCATCACTAGTAATGTACTCTCTTCTAGTGGTAAGTGGAATTGTGTCAAATGTCGCGTTTTTCGATCAAGCAAAGTATTTTAAAAATGCTTTTCTAAAAATGATTGGTAACAGAATATCATACACAAAAAAATGATATTGAATTAACTGACAGCAGTTTAATTGAAAATAATTTTTTTTTGTTAATTTATATATATAATGACAGTATTAATGAAATTACGTCATGCTCTTATTTTAATAAAATGATATTTATTTCATTAATACTGTCATCGAATAAATAAGCTTCTTTTCCATTAAATTACTGTTGGCTAATGCTGCTAATATATAATTTTTTTCGTGTACAAAAATTGAGATATATTACTTTTTTATAGTACCATCGAGCCCTCTTAAAAAACAGCCTTCTAAAGAATCGGTCAACAGTCAACCTCGTAGTACTGGATCCGCCGCGGCACTCTTGCCTGAGGAACCAATAGCGGTGGAAGAAGAATTAATACTTAGCACCAGCGCTCCGTCCTCTTTTACCGGAAGTCCTCAGCTTATCCATAGAAATCCGAGTATCACGTCTTCTTCGGGCGAATCGAAATTAGGAAGAATACAATTGACTATACGATACAGTACGCAGAGACAGAAACTCAGTATTTTCGTACACAGAGTTGCGTAAGTTAATCTCAATTAATCAAATACATCTTGTACTCATTATAATTGACTAAATGTTAATGTCATCTATATATGTTATATTGCAGTAATCTGCCGCTTCCCCAAAATGATCCGCACAATATACCGGATCCGTATGTAAAACTATATATTTTGCCGGACAAACATAAGGAAACAAAGCGCAAAACTGCTGTGATCAAGGATAACTGTAATCCCCAATTTGACGAGCAATTCGAATATGTAGTCTCGCAAGGAGACTTAAACACACGTATATTAGAAGTGTCTGTATGCACACAAAAGGGTTGGCTCTCTACCGGAAGTAACGTGATGGGACAGGTTCACTTGAAATTGAGTGAAATCAACATTTCGAAGACGGTAACCAGCTGGTACGACTTACAACCGGAAATCAAAGACTAGAAAACAAGGAAAAGTAAGTGGGGATTCGAGCGTTTGTGCGTCTGTTTGACGAAACAACCGCTTAAATTCCCACTTAATAATTTTTACAAACGATGAAAGTCTCTAATGTTACAATTACCTCTATATTTCGTTGATCATTGTTAAATTGATAATTTATTAAGGTAAGTTAATACGTGGTGCTATGCGAGATGCAAGACGTTTTGCGAAAAACAATAAAAGATATTTAAAGAGATTCGTACTTACGCCTAATGGCATGAAATGATCTGATATATAATTTTGCCGCAACTATAAAGCAGGGACGGATTGGCTTGGTAGTTGATTTAGTAATTTCAAATTTCTGATATATATTCTATTATAAAATATTTTAATACGATATACACATGCGCGAAAAGATCGGATTTCAGTAAAGGTTTCATGTGTCGTTGTTATCTTGTTTTTCAAAATGTGCCTAAAATAGTTAAACGCTGGCCGTTTAATTGAAGAATCCATTTGGTACACAATGCGTATTACATTTGTAAATCTCAGTGATGAATGAGATATTTTACAAGAATACAAGCTATTAAATATACGCGCATAAAGGAATTGAAAATTTCTCATTCCAATGCTGATCCGCACTTGATAGAGTAATATATTTTGTATTTTATGTTGTATGATGATTTATGTTTGTATGATGATTAAGTTGCGGCACAAAATGTGCACAACTATGTGCAGACACTATTACTGAATGATCTGAATAATATAACACACATATATGATACGTGATTAATTTATATGCTTATGAAAATTAGTTACGTAAGTTAACGTTTTTCGATATTGTAATTCCATGTTTTTTTCTTTACTATGTCCCAATATTGTTTGGTTACTAATAAAGTTGAATAATGCATTTACCAATTGCATAAGCAATTAAATGGATAAATTATACTAATATTTAAATAATTCATATTTTATAAGACACATTGGTATACATCAGTATAATTTTAATATGGCCCTCTTGAAAATCAAATTGTTATATACGCGCTTTATATTTGTATTGGAGATTTTGCTACATTATACAGTCATGACCATAAATATGAAGCATCACCACAAATTGATATAAACATTCTATGTATATTTAACAAAAAAATTTTTTAATAATTTTATTAAAAAACTAAAGTTATTTTTATAATAATTTTAATATTCTGTTAGTTTTCCTTTGACTTTTATTACTGCCTTTTCTGCAATAAATTGAAGATGCTATATTTATATTCATGGCTGTACATACATATATATATATATATACATATAAATATATCTATGTATCTATATTTTGTGACGGACGACTTCGTCAATAGTGTCACAAATTGTTGAGAACAATAAATATTATGTGCATTGTCAACATTCGTTACTTTGTAGTTGTATTGATATAACAAATTCCGATTTGTATTATATAGCTAATTTTTAAAATAATGCTTCTACGTATCTGTTACCGTAATATTTATCGAAAATATTAGTTTAGAGTTATATGAATTAATTTGTTGCAACTGAAGTTTCTACATCGGTAATTAGATAAGAAGTCGCTATCTCTTCTGCAAAAATAGTCGTATATTTTTCTCCGTGTATTACCGTATAGATCCAACGATCACCAAGGAAACTCAATGATATAACGTGAACATGGTATTCGTTCCTTATCAGTAACATTCTCACAGTACGAAGTTTTTATATCAATCGTGTATTCTCTTTGCGCCATTTGTAACGAATTTATAATTCAAGCAATAATTTAACTGTGAATTGATAGAATTTTTATCAGTATGCAACAGACATCGATGTTACCTTGTCTCCCAGGATTTAGCGTCGACAAAAACGTGAGTAATTTTATATTCATGACATTTGTGACGGTATCGGTAAGATTTCACGTTATTACGAACACTATTATATACGTTAAAAAGCATGCATAATAGAATATAGCTCACATGTAAAATATAGGCGCAATATAAAATATTAGTGCGCAAAAAGAGAAAGATTTACATCGTAAATATATCTGGCAGCTTGGTAGAACAAGATTTCACAAAAGCCAACTCTTCGACAAGCTACACGATGGAATTTGTTATTTATCTGAGAAAACGGATACGAAAGCATATAGCCGTTATTCGTCCATTTATCCCCGAGGGGAGGAGCCAGAAATGCCGTCGTGGCTTGCATATGATGGCCAAGTATGATTGACAGTAAATGAGCTTGAGGCTCATGAAATTTTATATACTTTTTAAGGACTTCCTTCAATATTTTATATAGTAATTATAGTAAAATGTTGTACGCGGATGAATAAAATTAAATTCTATACAGTACTTTTTAAGAAATTTCTTTAACATATTCTAGATAATAATTATAAAATGTATGAATAAATAAAATTAAGAAAATTGTTTCTCAAATTATAAATTGACTATAATTAATATTAATTAATGCTAATTATTTTAATCGCACTTTTTAGAGACTCATGTTCAAAGCATTTTTCCAAGAGACTGTACAAGAGAAGTGGAAAACGGCTTTCCATATTCGCGTGGTGAACATTAGCTTTTTCCTAGAGGATGGAACAATGAAAATCGTAGAGCCATCTGTGGACAATAGTGGTCTTGAGCAAGGTTCAACGGTGCATTTCATTTTCGTAATTCACTTAGCAGCAAAACATTTTATTTTTGCATCTTATTATGCTTTTATCTTAGAAGGAAAATCGAAGCAGAAATAGGCATTTTTAATTATTATCAATGTTAAGTGATATGTACTGCAATTGTATTAATTTTCGATATGAAGGTGTCTTAGTCAAACGCCAAAGGATACCGATTCCTGATCCAGTGAAGTACAGATATTATGATATACTCGATTTAAATGTCGGCAAGGAACCCAAGATATATGGGCGAGTATATAAAATTGTAGATTGTGACAAATTCACGAGGCAATTCCTTAACCGTTTGGGAATACCAGTGCCCGATCCAATAGATATACCGAAGGATCCGTATAATGAAATTCGAAAAACTGTAAGTACAGAATAACGCAAATAAAATTTACGTCAATAAAATCATGCCTAATAATGTTTTCGTGGCAAACACTTAACATTTGATTATACAAAATTTATTGTATTATGACGCGATTAATATCGCAGGAAGTATTTCCAAAAAAGCCTAATCGTATGGTGGATACTCTCGGGAATTTTTTAAAGTACGATAAGCAGGTGCTCCGATTTTATGGATACTGGGACGATACCGAGAGTCCTCACGGTATTATCCATGATCTCGAACTGTATTATTATCTTTCTGATAATACAATGGAAATTAAGTACAATGTATCGCCGAACGCCGGTCAAGATTCTGGTCTAATGCTTGTTAAAAGGATGAAGATACCGAAGGTGTGATATTTATATTAATTTCTACCAATGTAGATTAACTTTAATCTCGATTTAATTTACTCTTTATTTTTTTCTAATTCTTAGAAGTAGAATTTACTACTTATTTTTGATCCTTTCCTCAAACTAAGATTAATCTGTATTGATAGAAATGGACACTAAATAGAGCCGATTTTTCACAGATTTCATCAAAGATCGTTAATTTGCTATGTTAAATTTTGCTGTTATGTTAAATAATATATTATCATAAAATTAAAACATCATTGTTCCAATAACTATCTAATTTTCTACATATATATTTCACAAAATTGTCTTTCCAGTTTTATAGTGGCTTGCAACCAATTGGCGCGGAAAATCGTTTCACGGTTCTGAATGTATTAGGCGAGGATACAAGACAAAGCTATTATATGGTGGATAGTCTAGACACCGGCAAGATCTCCGCCGATTATTACAAAGACAATGAGTTGGGTATCGGTGCGGAGATTAATGTCTTCGGAAGAAGAATTATTATCACAAACATGGATGCTTTTACTAAAGAATATTATCGGTAAAACAATGCAGAATTTTTTTATGTTCTTATCAGAGCTTAACTTTACATGTTTCTTTAATAATCTTTAGAAAGAAGTATGGCTTGGACGACTTCACCTCTCTGATAAGGCCTCGAAAAGCCGATGAAATATACCAGAAAATCGAGAAGTATATACCACCTTACAATGGTTTCGGATCTTACGAGGATTCTCTCGGAAACTGTTTTACAGTACTGCCGAAACCGCCCAAATCAAACTTCATCAAGTTTCTGTGTTACGATAAGTGAGTCGCGAGCAACATGCTTCAAAACTAACTTCTTTCCTGTTTGATTCTACTCCTTGTTATCGTTTCAGGCAGGGCTTTAATAGCCACGTCTTCAGATTTCGAGCGAAAATGGTATCAAAAATTCCAGAACATGAAGAAAGACAATTCATTATAAGAGTATTCCTCGTGGACGATACGATATCTATTTTCGAATTGGCGAAACGAAACTCAGGTATACCCATAATATAAGAAATTTGGAAAAAATTACATTGACAAAAGATTTATTCCAAATATATCTAACATTAAAAAATATGATTTACTAATTTTTTTATAAGTGACTATGGGTTGCTATAATAGTAGTAGTAAATGTATTGCATATGTTAAATAAATTGAAGTATATAGTGAACAAAATTGAAATAGAAACAAAATATTAGAATAACATTAAAATGTAGCAAAATTAAATCAGGCTTTCAGAGATCCTTATTCCAAAAACGGATGCCAATAATGTTACCTGGTCAAGATATTTTCACAAGCAAGAAACCGGAATACTACAAATCACACGATTTTTATATAGGAGCATGCTTAAATCTGTACGACTTTCATTTTGAAATTACGTCTGCAGATGTTTATGTCCTCCGTTATATGGAGTTACATTGCGACAAGGTGCGTTTCTACATTTTATCCGTTAAACAAATTATAGCCATTTTATAAAAAAGTTCTGTCCAAATATTACAATAAAATTACGATCCTCCAAGCTTGACTTGTTTATGTATGCGATACTAAGGAAGGAATAAATTTTCTTCGCAGTTTCCCAAAGCGAACAAGAAATTGATAATGGAGAAACTTCGAGAAAGTTTACAGCCTGTTTACAAAGAGTTCATTCAACTGTACGCCCCGCCTGAAGACACCAAAGACGATACTCGAAGTTTAGAATACGAAAAGCTCAAGTGGGTGTGAAATATTTATATCATTCCTTCCGCGTTATCTTCGTGTTTATTGTGATTAAAATTATATTTGCAGGGAGGCATTGCGCCGCTATATGGGAGACAAGATAACTGAACACGAAATGATCACAATTGCTCGACATTATTCGTCTCACGAGAAAATAGAACACCGATCGAGAGAATATGTGAGGTATGTGAATTTCTTAATCTGAAACCATGTGCCTACAATGCTAGAAATCGCTCCGATATCTCAGAGAAAAAATTAACAAATCAAATTTGAATGGTTCGGGTCAATTGATCAATTACCAATAATCAATTTTTTCCCCCCCGTTCGAGATTTTGGAGTAATTTTTAGCATCGTAGACACAAGAAAAGAGATTATTATTATTATTATTTAATAGTGGAAAAGAAATAAGTATACCAACAGAAATTAAGGATTTAAAAAAATATAAAGCTTTCTTATAAATCCTTGACATTTTGTTACTGTTTACAATTCAGAGAAATAGCAAGTCTTGACTTATATTTCCTATAAAATTTCTTTGATCTAAGATTTTAGAAAATATAAGTCAAGACTTATTTATTATTTCTCTGAATTGTAAACAGTATACATAATAAAACACGAAAGGTTTATATAAAGAATTCTTATAATTAAATTTTTAATTCTCATCGATAATCTTTATGTATTTTCTATTGTTAGAACATTAACGATTTCTATGTTATAAATAGTGTAATAGTTAGTGTAATAATTAATGAAATCAATGATTATTTGTAGATGTTTGATGCATATGGAATTACACCGATTTCTGTGGCACGATCTTGATCGCTTGGAGGAGGATCTACATCATTGGGACGAAAATAAAACTGGATTTT